GCCGGCTGTTTTTGCAACTGTGCAATGAGTTGGATGCGCCGAACAATGCTCTGCTATTTCACACTGAAGTGAGATGGTTGTTGAGAGGAAAAGTTTTAAAACGTGTTTTTGAGCTTCGTGATGAACTCAAAATGTTTTTTAATCAGAAAGCAAGACCGCAGTTTGAAGCACTTTTCAGCGATAAAAGTGAACTGCAGAAAATAGCTTACTTGGTTGATATCTTTGCCATCTTGAATGAGTTAAATTTATCACTGCAAGGACCAGATGCAACATGCCTCAATTTGTCTGAAAAGATCCGAGCGTTCCAAATGAAACTTCAGCTTTGGCAAAAAAAATTGGATGAAAATAAAATTTACATGCTGCCTACCTTATCTGCTTTCTTTGAGGAACATGACATTGAACCAGACAAAAAGATTATGATGATAATTTCTGTGAAAGAACACTTGCACATGCTTGAAGATGAAGTTTCATCATACTTTCCAAATCTACCTGACACCTCATTTGCACTTGCCAGAAGCCCATTCACAGTCAAAGTTGAAGATGTTCCTGAGACAGCACAAGAGGAGTTCATTGAACTTATTAACAGCGATGCAGCGAGAACTTTATTTCACTACAATGACAGTTACAAAATTCTGGATCAAGTGTTTGCAGTCATATCCTGTTCTGTCTGAGACTGTGTTGCGCCTTTTTCTTCCATTTCCAACAACATATCTTTGCGAAATAGGGTTTTCCAGCTTGTTGGTTATCAAGTCTAAATACAGAAGTAGACTTCTTGTGGAAGATGATTTTCGTTGTGCTCTTGCCCTAAGAATTTCTGATTTGGTGAGAAAGAAGCAATCTCAACCTTCGCACTGACGTTGGCTTTTTATGCATACTGTTACAAAATGTACCAATGTAGTTTACTGTTGTTGTATTAAAACTGTTATCCATTCTACACCATGCTTCAAACAAAATTTCATTTATTTGTAATTAGAAATAAATATTTCACAATATATAATTACATATTTGTTTTGTGATTAATCACTATGCTTTAATTATGTTCAATTTGTAACAATAAAAATACATGGTCCTCGCACTTTTGACCAGTCCTCGAACTTATGACTGTCCTCACATTTTACGTTTTTGCCCTATTTTATCACCATGGTGAAGAGAAGCAGTTGTGAAATGAGTGACGTGGTTGTTAAGAATGCTGCACCAGCATAAAGGACCAGTCAAAAGTGCGAAGATCTGTCAGAAATGACTTTTTTCAGCCCTCTGAGTAGTCCCTATACACATAGCCATGGCCACCCAGTCACATGACCAGCTAGCCATGCCCACCCAGTCACATGACCTCCAAGCCATGCCCACTAAATAAGCCACGCCCACCCCTGGTTGGGGGTCACCACAACATGAGGAACTGTATTAATGGGTTGCAGCATTAGGAAGGTTGAGAACCACTGTACCTTAATCCATTTTTATAGAGGATAGATATTATCCCAAAGAACAATAAGAAAAAGGACAATCCAAAGAGAAAAGATCTTCAGGCTCTTGTATGCCTTAATCCAATTGAATAGAAGGATATTGACCAAATTAACAATCTCCAATCAAAGAAAAGAAAGAAAAAAATTCTTCAGGCTCTTGTATGCCTTCTTCCAATTAAACAGAAGAATGTTGGACACATTAATAATCTCCCATCAACAGGGGAGTAAAGAAAAAAAAAGAAAATAAAGGGAAAAGATAAGAATTACAAAAAAAAAAAAAAAAAACCGAAGAGGAAAGGAAGAAAAAACAAACACAACTAGGATCCATATGTATATCAAAAATTTAGAAATCTTCCAAACAAAAAACATAATCCGGTTAAAAATAATTAAAGGGGAGAGAAGTGGAGAAATAGAAAAATGATACCCCCCCCGCAAAAAAAAGAAAAAGAAAAGAAAAGATAAACTTTCTGTCTAAAAGAAAAATCCACAACTGTGTAATATCCAAAAGTTCTTTTGTAGGTCTCACCTAATATTTACAGCTCTCTTTCCAGAGTCACTGCAATCTTCTTCTTTCAAGTCTCAGCCTCCTGCCAATATAGTTTCCCAGAAGAGCACCTGAATAAACAATCCTGCAGACAGTCTTTGATGCTCTTCTCATTATTTTATCTATGAGCAGGCTCAGAGTCCTTGAAATGTAATACAGTTGCTCTTTCTTTTGCCAGTAGAAAAAAAAAAGATACAATGTTTCAATCCACTAGATGGCAGCATTACTTATTTCCTCCACTTTCCCTCTTTATCCAATAGACGATAAGACAAAATAAAAATATAGAGGAGAGAAAAATAGCAAAACTAAACCAAAATAGTATTAAACTAAAAAGGCACTAAAAATTTAGCAATTAAATGAATAAAAAGGGAATCCCCAGTCCAATCCAGTCCAAAGACTCCATAGACATCCACAAATCAAAATAAATTACAAAATAGGAAAAACTACCTTAGACTCAGGCTCAATTCTGCCGCCTAACTTCTTCTGTCTTCAATTTTAATTATCTTTTCACCCCAGAGTATTCTTTCAATTAGTCTATTTTTAAAAAATCTCTCACCAAGCTGACACACTTTTTCTCATTCTCTTCCGTTCCGGAGCTGTCCCAACTTCAGCAGCTTAATGGCTGCCTCTTCAATGCCTGAAATAAGGGCTTCTCCTGGATCAACCAGGGATTTTGCAGTGTCCCTGGGATCAACAGGATGTGCCCTCCACTATCACCATCTCTACGGGATGGTGAGGTCCAAACTGGACCGTCCAGCGGCGCAGATATTGACGGTGATCTCGGAGCACCAAGATCGTCCGTTGTACCATTGTGACGTCAGCTCCACCCTCCCATTTCTATCCCCTCATGCAAAATGTGATACCCCAGATAGTCAATTTTAGTCTGGTGGAATTCGCATTTTGACAGCTTAGCATACAGGCAGCATCTCCACCTCGGCGTCTGGTAGTTGCTACTCCTTGGGGGATCTTCTCCAGCTCCGGTAACCTCCCCACATCCAGCGACCATTTAGCTCTCTCCGCCTTTTCGTCAAGTTGTAAATCAGCCATCCACTCCGAAGCCTCCCAGCCAGGGTGTGACAGGGAGGTCGCGGAACCAGCAGTTCCCATATCCTCCTGGTCGCTGTCTTAGTCAGACATTCTTTGCTCAGCTGCCACAGTAGTTTTCCGGGATGGCTGTTAATTGCAGACCTTGCTTAATGTCAGGTATGCCTCCTTTCAACACTCAAGAAAGAAAAACCCCGACTCCATTTTCATAGAGCAAAGTACTTTTACTGGGTATGAACTGAATGCAACCAAAGAAAAGCAAGTTCTGAGGCAATAGGCACAAAAATCACATATAGAAAGCATTCTTAAAACCCTCCCCCCAATCGTCCAGTCAGGGTTATCCAATCTACATCCCCCCAAGGGGTCATGTGGGATGCAGCTTCCGATGGCTCCATCCTCCTGGTATGCCACGGCAGTTGACCTTGAGTGGTTATCAGCGCGCCTCCCAGCTGCAGAGAAACGCTGAGGAAAACTTTCTCCCATTTACTCCACCAGCTCACTCCTCCCCCCAGACAGCTCCCCCCTCCCCCCATTACAATGGCAGCTGAGCAAGCAAGCAATATAAAGGCGGAGGCTGACAGATACTCTGTTGGCTCCTTTGCTTCATTCTGGAGAGCTTAAATGACCTCTCTGTTAAAGGGTTTCACTTTATGAGCAAGAGTTGGCTGTTGATAGTTATAATTGCATTTTAACTATTTTAATTCCTCAAGGTGCTCTGGCACCTTCCCTGATTTGTAACTCCAGTTTGCAGGTATTTCTACTCTAATGATTGGTATTTAGGGCAGCTTTTTGCAAGCAAGTAAGCTTTTTGTATTTTTGTACAGGTAATCCTTGACTTACAACAGTTACAATGGCACTGAAAAAAGTGACTTATGACCGTTTTTCACACGACCATTGCAGCAAACTGTCATTAGGGCAAAGAAGCTATGCCACATGACCATCTGGCCATGCCCACCCAGTCACATGAAGCACCGTAGTTGTGAAATGAGTGACACGATTGTTAAGAATGCTGCAACTGGCATAAATGATGACCGGTCATAAGTGCGAGGACCGGTCAAAAATGCAAGGACCTGTCAGAAATCACTTTTTTCAGCCCTCTGGGTAGTCCCTATGTGCACAGGGACTACTCAGAGAGCTGAAAAAGTTATTTTTGACTGGTCCTCGCACTTTTAACTGGTCCTCACACTTACGACTGTCCTCACATTTTACATTTTGCACCCTATCTTGTCACCATGGTGAAGAGAAGCATTTGTGAAATGAGTGACATGGTTGTTAAGAATGCTGCAATGGTCATAAATGATGACCGGTCATAAGTGCGAGGACTGGTCAAAAGTGCGAGGACCGATCAGAAATGACGTTTTTCAGTCCTCTGAGTAGTCCCAATGCACATACCATGGCCACCCAATCACATGACCACCAAGCCATGCCCCCAAATAAGCCACGCCCACAGAACTGGTTGTTAAAAAAATTGAATCCCACCACTGCTCTTATCTGTTAGTAAGTCCTTATATCTATCAATATTTCCAACATTAAAAACATTTGGGTGTATCAAAGCTTTCATTGTTGATAACCATATTGGTATTTTCACATAATATTTATCTCTGACCTTCTCCCATACCAATAACAATGCATTCCTTATATAATGTTTATGAAAGTACGTATGTATCCTATTTCTACCATACCATAAAAATGCATGCCATCCCAATTGTAAATCATGACCTTCCAGTGTTAATAGTCTTGTATTTCTTAATTCAACCCATTCCTTCATCCAAGTCAATGCTGCTGCCTGGTAATACAATTCCCAATTCGGTAACCCAAATCCTCCACGTAATCTCTTGTCCTGAAGCATTTTTATGCTTATTCTTGCTTTTTTCCCTTGCCATATAAATTTCCTTATGTAATACACAGGAAATACCTGTCACCCGGAAAATAATTGACAGAGAGTTGAAAGATGAGACAAGGAAAAATTTATTTCTTTGCAAAGGTCCCTCTCAAAGTGAGAGAGCAATTTACATATCTCTCTGACCGTCTTTTATACAATTTTAGGTTACATCGTACAGGATACAAACCAGGATACAAGCATGTCCCTTGAGTACAATTTCAGACTTTATATAACAAGTAAACACATGTTTTCCCCTTGTGGAAAGTCCCCACAAGTCCAGTATATAAAAATACCCTACTTAAAAATATTGCTTATACGTGTAATATATAATATCAGCATATGCGTACTTCCCCTTCTTAATGAGGGCAAAATGACCTGAAAGCCTATTTCCTGCCAGAGAAACACATTCTCAAGAACACAGGAATTACACAGTTCCTTTCTCATGTTCTTAAATGTCAGCTAAATTATATAATCAGGTTATACAGAGTAAAATAAAGCCTTGACATGATTTCAAAATGGCGTAACTTAGGCTATACTTTTTTACAGGAATAATCCTAATTTCTTTATTTCTCACAATCCCCACTTCTCCTCTTCATTACTTTTTATTCCTGTAAATTATGTATATCTTGTAACATTATAGAAACTTCTCTTCTCCCTAAGCCACCATGCGAATCTCCAGCCAATTTTTCTTCTTTATTCGACAGCAACACTTCCAAAAATCACAGCAAATAGGTATGCATTTAATACAAAGACAAGAAATAAGACATATAACTATAATCAATAATATGCCTACAAACAATTCCCTTAACCATGCAAAGTTAGGTAACCATGAGGTTAATATATCCCAAACTTCTCTAAAAGCTGTATTTTGGACTCCCAAATAATATTATAACATGTGACAAATTGAAATTATTTGGTTCTATTATGATATTTGCTTCTTCAAATAAAAACTTTCCCGGTACTGGCACCCCCACAAAACATGTAGCCATTATATCAGAGACAGTTGTCTCACCCCTGATACAAAAGGAAGTACTGTTTAAAGCTACCTTCATTAAATCCAGAAATATATTGCCTTCTCTCGTTCTCCGTTCAGCAATACTTCTGGTATATCATAAAGGTGCCTTAAGATAACCAACAGCACATCTTCCCTTCCAGAAATAAGGCAATTTAGGCAAAGCCAAATTTCCACATAGAAACATTAACTTCAAAGGGGCTTTTATTTCAAAATATGGAAAGCGTAATCCTTCCTCCAAAATACGGAATATTTTATATGAAGGAGTATGATTACCATATAAATCAGTACATTGATTATATAAAAACTCCATTCTATCTAATAAATCAGTGTATTTAGGGGTTATGTCATATCTATTATTACATCTGGCATATCTGCCCAATGGTATACCATCTACAAAAGATGATTTTATACATATATCAGCTTCTTCAGCACCCTCTATCAAGGTCAGTGTCTCTATTAAAGAATATCGGTGCTCGAGTTCAGTATGGAAACATAACTGCTGCCATGTTATTGGATAATCTTGTAACACATCCAACATCTCTTTTTCCATCCCTATCTGCACCTTCAATAGAATAAACAGAAACACCATATACCCCATCTTCCTAGTGGACTAATTCCCCTCTCCAATATAGCTTCCAAAAAGATAAAATATTATTATCTTACCACCAAAGTATCAGACTGTCAAAGTGAACCTACATCCACTGGATACCAAAGCATAGATTTACACCAGTCAATTATATCTTTTCTTAATATAATCAAAAATACAACAAAAATTAATATCACTCCTAGCCAAATACAAAATTCTTCACAAAACTCTTCTTCCATCCGTTGGTCATCAATCGTCTAAGGGTTGTCGACGAAAGGTCAATTTAAGAGGATCTGTAGATTTCGCAGCAACCGTCCATCCGGTCCTTTCACTCTAGAATAGCATACCCAGCCTTGTTCCTTAGTCCTTACAGCCGACCCTGTAGTTAGCAGAACTTGGGACGGTCCTTCCCACACCGGCTGCAACTTTTTCTCCTTAAGTGCTTTGATCAGGACCCAGTCTCCGCTTTTGTATTCATGGATTTGGAAATCAAGAGGTGGAGTCTGTCCTTTTTACCTTAAATGAGAAAAACACTGGGACAGTCCCTGTATATATTTTTTCAGAAAAAAACATCTTTCAATTCTATCCTAAGCATCTCAACTTTCCCCGCATACAGCAATCCAAACATCATTTCATACGTAAATATCCCCAGAACTTTCCTAGGACTAGTTCTTATTCTTAATATAGCTAAAGGCAAACACTTCGTCCAAGGTAGTTGAAGCTCTAACATTAATCTTTGTAACATAAATTTACTTGTCTGATTAGCACATTCACAACGCCCTGTAGAACTTGGCGTGAACAATAAATGTAGTTGCCAATCAATTCCTAATTGTTCTATAACCTCTATCACCTGGACAATGAAATGTGTACCGCTATCACTATCAATAAGATCAACCAATGCATATTTGGGTATTATTCGCTCCAATATGATTTAACAATCATCTGAGCACCTGTCTTTACACAAAGAAAGGCTTCAAACTATCCAGTAAATTAATCCACTATTATTATTACATATATCAATGGTCACACCACCGGCATTTCAATGTAATCTACTTGGATTCATTGAAAAGGCCAAATGGTCAATCTCTACATGTTATGCACATACACAATGTATTCATTTCCGTACCATTTGTATAACTATTGTATACACACTCCTACACACATATATGCATATATGTTTAATAAAATCAATAAGTGCTTGCATTCCCCAATAGGTTCCCTCATGCACTCACAGCTTTAGTAAAAATTTGCACCCTTCCTTTAGTCATCCATTTCCCATTCACTTACACATCCCTTCATCCACTATTTGTATAATAGCAAGTTTAGAAGAACCTATCAGCTGCCTTTAAAACAGCTGTGATAAAATCCACCTGCTGCAATTCCTTCCTATTACTAAATATCAACCCCCTTTCAATCCAGATTATCCCAAAAGTATGTATGATACCATAAGCATATTTTGAATCAACATGAATATTCCCTACCTCATTAGTTAATATGCGCAATGCTTACAATAAAGAAAAAACCTCACATGTCTGCTCTGACCATTCAGACGGTAACTTTCCAGCTTGCAATATCGTAGTAGTGTCTCCATTCACAACTACATAACCATTCAGCCTCATCCCATTCTCAACCTATTTATTCATAACCACACAATTTCATTTCACATCATCCCATCTCTCTCTCCTGACAGGAATTCAACTAAATTTAAATTCCTATTGGTCAAGAGAACCAAATTCTCTTGAGACAATTTTATTACTTTCTTCAACTCTTCAAACCTTTCTTCCAAACAACTTAGTTTGGAATTAACTATCAATAAATCAATAAAGTATCAATAAATACTCAACTCTCCCCACTTCGGAGGAATCACACCACACCTCTATCACAAATTAGCTAAACTATTTCCATAAGCTTCAAAGAAATGCAAAGCTTAATCTAAATTCACAAGTCTAAACCACAAGTCTATACAGACTAACTTACAGGTAACTTCCTAGCTAACCAGACCAAAAGTCCATCTTTACTTTCTACCAGTAAGTAATTCTTCCCTCAAGGGAACATCCCTTATCTGGACAACACTAAGCTAAAATAACATAGTCAACTATTCCCCAGGCTATCCAGTATCGAGGCTATCCTAGAAATCTCCTTCTCAACATTCAAAATCATTCAAAATGCACAGACATAAAAATATAAAAGTGGGTAATAAAAAACTTCAAAAAGCAAAAGAAAATCACCTAATAGAGGTACTCCGGCTAATAGAGGTACTCCGGCTCTCTACTCCCAAAAATAATTATTTTAAACTTTCAATGTCACTTCTCTATTATATAGATTTATTTAAACACCTCAAACATTTCACAAACAAAAATAAAATCAAAACTCAGAGCAGGACAGGAAATACATCTGCATAGCTGCCAATGCAGTCAGAAACAATGCAGGATCAAATCACCCATTCGCCCCTCCTTTCTCTCAGACAAACTCAGCAAAGGAAAAAAAATGTGTAAAAGGGAAAACAAACCGCACCTCCCCCCCCTTTCCTACTTTTCTTGTTCAGAACAAAAAAAACAGGGGAAATATAGGGAGGAAAAATACTACTCCTGTCTCCATTTAACATCGTAAATACCTCTTCCTAATCCTACTTCTCCATAGGATCTCTCTCATCTCTCACTTGCTCATTCAAACACTTGCTATTACAACATAACAACAACTACAACAACAAACTCTTGCCACTCACTATTTCATTATACAAAAGGAGACCTCTCAGGGATTCAACGCACAGGCATTTACAAATATCAGGATCACCGTACCACCCCCCCATGTGAGGGCTTACCACACACACTCATATTTATTCTGCAATCAGACCTTTTAGTGTATTCCAACACACACATACCATTTAACAACATTTGCAAACCTGGAATAAAACCTGGGAATGTTCCATCCCTTCAGATACCCATTTCATTTTCATCCTTGACATCTTGTAGCCTACTCCTCAAGCAGTGGAAAACTTCAGGATGCGGTTTTTTAATCAAAAACTTGAATTCGGGCCCTAACCATCATCCGTTTTCCACAGCTCCAAGCTCAAGCCAAGAAGGTCACTTAATTAGCCGGCACACATATATCTCTATCACATCACATTAATCAAAGACAAAATATTCACATTCAACCTCAGGTAGGAAGAACAATAAACCTTCCTTACTACATTCCTATAGAGTTTTCTGCCTCATCCAAGAACGAGAAAGATCTGTATACCAAGCTCACATCCCAGAAGAGACAATGCATCCCTCCCAAACAGATTAATACCTGCTTCTGGAACAAATATCACATCCAAATGTATAATACACTTTCCACAACTCAATTTCACATTCTTCAACAATGGCACATCAAAAGGTATACCCTTGACACCTCTTATCTTAATAGTTACACCTGTGGGATGCACTCCTCTAGGCAATTTACAAATAGAGGTTCTAGTCACACCCGTATCTATTAGAAACACATGATCCTCCTCTTCTGGACCCACTAATCATCCTCTTCTCAGGACAAGCTCTAGCAAAATGCCTCTCCTTTACACACACAAAGCACTTCTTGCTTTCCAATCCACCAACACTAGGAGTAATACTCTCCCGATTCCAGAACACTGTCGCCACATTGCAACAGATGTTTCACAAAGCCTTTTCCTCTTCCACCTAACTCCTTTCCCTCTCCTGTCTGTTTCAACACAGACACCATCATTCGACTTTTCTTTCTTTCTTTTTCTCCTAGTCTTGGCCTTGTCCCTATTCACATAGACCTTTTGAGCTTCTTTCAACAGAGCAGCAATATCAGTAGTAGCCCAATTCTCAAGCTTCTGTATGCCTGGCCATGATTTTGTCACAAATTTCATTTTCATTAAGGACTCATAAGCCGGCATTTCAGGAGAAAGACCAGTGTGCTTATTCAAATTGTCCTTAATATATTCCAGAAACACAGACGGTGTTTCTTCCCACAACTGTTCCACCTCCAAGACTTTTGTTAAAGTTTCTTCCTTGAGGTACAGCTGTCTTAACTCCCTGAATTATAATTCTCTTCAGGTCCTCCATTTGCCCCCGGTCAGCCAAATTAACTAATTTAGCTAATTTAGGATCAAATGGAGACTTAACATCGGCAGCAACGGGCTGAGCAGCCCCCACTTGGATTTTATCCCGAAAAAGCCATAGCTGCCTTTCGAATTTGTGACCTCTCCTCAAGGGAGAACAAAAATCCAATGACTCAGACAACTTGATCAGATCCGCCTATAAAGACGGCATGTTGCCTTCATAATCTTCCAGATCAGAAGATGTCAAAGACACATTCACAAAAGCCGCAATACTATTCAGCATTCCTCTTAAAGGAAACATTCCTTTAGTTTGTGAACATGTAACACGAGGAGAAGTGGATGGATTCTGTTTCACAGTTACTGACAATTCATCCAACTCCTTCTCCGGCTGCCTATATTACTGCCCTGCCGAAGTCTCTTCCTTTCTGCTCCCAGCAACAACATTCCACCCACAACCTGGATTATACGAAGGAGGGGGAGGTGGGCATGTAGCATAAACTAAAGGATCCTAGCCTTCCTCTTCTCCTTCCCATACAAAACTCTAGAACTTCTCTGGGGAAGAGGGTCAAACTACTGAACATGGAACTGAGGTTCAACATATGGCAACTGAGAAATAAGTTTTTTGCTTTCCAAAACCTTCTTCAAGGCATTAATCCAATACGGGTCAGACTCCCCAAACTTACTCCACCTATAATTAGGCTTTATCAAAATAAATTTCGGCCACACCCTAGTACAATAATTAATCATAGCTACTTTATCCAACTGTTTGGTATAAACCTTCAACCAGTCCTCTGTCCACTGAGTTAACAACTCCCCTAAAGGTGATATCGGAGAGATGGAGGGTATTTTATTGTTAGTATTATTACCACGTTTACTCCAAGAAAGCCCCATACTGTCACTTTCACACACAAACCACACACACTAAGCACACCTAATAATAACCCAAGAGAGAGGAAAGAATACTCACTCACTCCCAGTGCAGTCCCCCGGAACGTTCCTCTTGTCTCCTGTCTCAACGTCCAAGTCTCCGTCTCAGGGCTTTTAGAAAAGCTGCTCCCGTCCGGCAAGAAAACAAACCTTACACCAAAACAGTGTTTTGTGCGCTTTTTTAGATTTATTTGCTCACCAGACGAAAGGTTCTCAGGTCCCTGTTCAGTGCCAATTGTGATACACAGGAAATACCTGTCATCCGGAAAATAATTGACAGAGTTGAAAGATGAGACAAGGAAAAATTTATTTCTTTGCAAAGGTCCCTCTCAAAGTGAGAGAGCAATTTACATATCTCTCTGACCGTCTTTTATACAATTTTAGGTTACATCGTACAGGATACAAACCAGGATACAAGCATGTCCCTTGAGTACAATTTCAGACTTTATATAACAAGTAAACACATGTTTTTCCCTTGTGGAAAGTCCCCACAAATCCAGTATATAAAAATACCATACTTAAAAATATTGCTTATACGTGTAATATGTAATATCAGCATATGCGTATTTCCCCTTCTTAATGAGGGCAAAATGACCTGAATCCTATTTCCTGCCAGAGAAACACATTCTCAAGAACACAGGAATTACACAGTTCCTTTCTCATGTTCTTAAATGTCAGCTAAATTATATAATCAGGTTATACAGAGTAAAATAAAGCCTTGACATGATTTCAAAATGGCGTAACTTAGGCTATACTTTTTTACAGGAATAATCCTAATTTCTTTATTTCTCACACCTTATTATCTTATTAAGCTGTTGAAAATAAGTCTTTTCAATTTTTATCAGTACTGTCTGAAATATGAATAATAATCTTGGTAATATATTCATCTTTATTATTGCAATCCTTCCCATTAGTGACAATTGAAGATTCTTCCACTTCTCCAAGTCTTTCTTGATTTATTGTTTTAATCTATAATAATTATCCTCTTTTATCGTTACATATCTTGAAGACTCCTAAGTATTTAACTTTTTCACCACTTGTATATCTAAGTTCTCTTCTATCTCTCTTTGTGTTTTTCTGTAATATTTTTCACCAAAATGTTCGTTTTATCTTTATTTATTTTTAGACCAGACACCTTTCCATAATTCTATATTTGTTCTAGTAATTTGGGAGCTGTTGTTTGTGGTTCCTCTAAGATGATTACTAAGTCATCTGCAAAAGCTTGCAGTTTATACTCTTCTGTTTTGATTTTCATCCCTTTATCTCTTCATTTCACCTAATATTTCTATTTAAAACTTCTAAGGACAAAATAAACAGCAATGGTGATAGAGGACATCCTTGTCTAGTGCCCTTCATAATGCTAACATTTTCTGTCATTTCTCCATTCATCATTATCTTAGCAGATTGTCTGTCATAAATCATTTTTATAGTGTTTATAAATCTGTCCGCAAAGTCCATTCTCTGCAGTAGTTCTATCATAAATTGCCAGTTCACATTGTCAAAAGCTTTTTGGGCATCTAGAAACATCATTGCCATTTGTTTTTCTGAATGTCTCTCATAATATTCCAAAGTATTCAAAATTATCTTCATATTGTCTCTGATTTGCCTTTTAGGTAAAAATCCATTTTGGTCCATATGAATAAATTCATTTAACAGTTTTTAAAATCTATCTGCCATTACTGAAGCAAAAAATTTATAATCCACATTTAGAGGTCTATAGTTTTTTTTAAATCAATTGTAGGTCTGTATCCTCTTTAGGTATACGTGTTATCTAAGCCTCCCTCCATGAGTCTGGCATTCTTGCCTTCATTACTAATTCATTAAATAGTTCCAACATTACATTATTCATCACGTCCTGGTGCTTTCACATTTTTTGTCCTTTTATCGCTTCTGTTAATTCCATCATTGTTATTCTTTCCTCTAGCATTCCCTTATATTGTTCTGGTATTTTAGATAAATCTGATTTTTCCAAATATTTTATTATCTCTTCCTCTGAAATCTTTTCTTGGGAAGAGAGTTTTTCATAGTATTTTTGAATTACTATCTTCTTTTCTTCATTTCTATAGTGTAATTTCCCCTCTTCATCTTGTAAATATTTTATTATTTTCTTCTTCTTCTCTTTTTTTAATTTATTCTAACTACCTTCCTGGTTTGTTTGCATTTTCAAAAAAATTCTGTTTAGATGCTCTTAATTTATTTGCTAATGATTCCTGTTCATTTAAATTCATTTCATGTTTTTTCACTTCCATCAGCTTCTCGATTTTTTTATTTTGGATATCTTTTTGGAATTCTTTCTCTAAGTTCTTATACTCTTCCAATCTTATCTGTTTTTGCCTTTTCTTTTTATTCTTTTTTTCCCAAATATGTAATTGCTAAACCTCTAATATAAACTTTCATTGTATCCCATACATTCTGAAGTGATGTATTTTCTTTCTTATTTATTTTAAAGAAAAATTCTTGTTCTTTTTCCATAAACTGCTGAAAGTCTTTTTCATTTAATATTGTTACATTCAAAGTCCATCTTGTCTTTTTCTTCTTTCCTTTCCATATTATTGTCATTGGGCTATGGTCCGCCCAAATATTTGAAGCAATATTTACTTCTTGTATATTATCTGTAAGTTCTGTAGACATCCATATCCTTGACCACAATAAATGTCTATTTGAATAGAAGGTATACTGGTTTTCTTTCAAGTGTTTTATATCCAAATATCTTGAATACTCAACTCTTCTATCATTGTAAAAAAAAGATTTTGACAATATTCTTCTGGATATTTTATTTGTCTTCATTGTTTTATAGTCCAAATCCACATTTGTTATGGCATTAAAATCACCCATTATACATACATATTCATAGTCTAAAATTCTAAAATTTTTCTGTGTAATCTCCGATCAAATTCTTTTGTTTTTCATTTGGTGCATATATTGCTATCAAAAATATTAAGCTTCCGGTCTGGCTTCCGTCGCCGCCAGACGGTTCTCTGAGACTGCCAGCCCCGTTGCCTGTAAAGAGCCGCCTTTACATCTGAAAGGCGGCTCGAAAAACTCCATTTCCTGAAGGAAATGTGAGACAGAGCAGGCGAGGGCAGGTAGAGCTCTCTGCAAAGTCCCCAGAGTTCTTTTTTTACTCTTGGGGATGAGCAGGTTGTGGCTCCCTATTTCCGCTCGCCGCTGCTCCGGGCTTCGGGAGAACTCTGCCTTTTTGCAGAGCCAGGTTCTGGGACCGGACCAATCAATTAAATTAACAGATGGTTTAATTAAAGAGGACGAGATTTGGACTTGGGACCCTAAATCGCAAGTATTTTTAATGATTTTACAAGCGTTTTTAAGTGAAGGAAAAAAAAGTTTAAAATGGCGACTGCTGAGGCTTGAGAAGAAGGAGAAAGCCGAAAGCGAAAGTCCTTCCGTAACAAGATACAAAGTAGTGGAATAAACAGTGCTGGCTAGAATCTAGAAGAAAAATATCTATTTTAAGTTTCTTTTTTCTTGGAGATTTGTACTTGATCTTGCTTGGGGAAAAGTTTTCTTTCTTTAAAAAGAGTTTGTTTGTGTGGCAGGATGGCGTTAAAACTAATAAAGCCTGACAAACAAGCAGTGGGGGTGGGGGTGTTCCCCCATTTACAATTATGTGAACAAGTTCTGAGCTTACAGACTCAGCAGAATGGCTTTAATTTAAAAGAATTTGTCCTGGAGGAAATGGCAAGATATCACGAGACTGTGAACCAGAAACTTGAAAAATTTAGGCAGGAAATTAAAGAAATGATACAACTAAAGTATGATAATCTGCAACGAAAGATTGTAACAGTGACTAATGCTTTTTCAGAAATTGTTATAAAGATGGATACAAATATCAAGTTATTAGAGTCTAAAATGGAGGAAGTTGATGATAAGATTTATAATTTGGATAATAAAATACAAAGAATTGAAAATGATTTGATAAATATTCAAGACAATAGTTTAGAAGTAAAGTCTAAAAAGGAAGCTGGTCACGAGACTTACAATGCAGAAGATATAAAGCAAGGGATTGAAAAAGAAGTTACAATGATGCAATACAGGCTCACGGAATTTGCGATTAGAATGAGAGGGTTACAGGAAAATAATAGAGATGATTTAAGAAAAATATCTGCTCAAGTTCTGGCTGGGATTTTAAAAGTTCATCCTGAGGAGGTATCTTGTAAGATTGACAAGGCCTATAGAGTAAATTCTTGGATTGCAAAGCAAAGGCAATTGCCTAGAGATGTGGTGATTTACTTCACAGATAAAGAAATAAGAAATGATATTGTGCAAAAATCCTTTAATTCTACTCTACAATTGTATGGAAGAAAGATCTGGATATATAAAGAGTTGCCGCCTAAGATGCTAAAAGATAGAAAGAAATTTGGATTTTTGGTGACTGAGCTAAAGAAACAAAACATCTCATTCAGGTGGGACGTTCCAGTTGGCATAATATTGAGATATCAAGGAGAAAGATATCAGCTAAATACTGTTGAAAAAGCGGAAGAATTTTACTACAAGGTTCTCAAAAAGCAAAATCAACAAGAGATAGAAATTCAAGATAAGCAGAAGGAGGTGGAAGTAATGGAAAAACAGCAAGTTACAGAGGTCTTTGTAGATGAACCGCTTCTGGATTCTCCTTCAGAGGTCTCAGCTGGACTATTTATAAATACAAGAGAGGCGGCTCTGGATTCTAATGTAATGATTTATCAAGTTACAGACCAGCATGGAAATCAATCAGTTGATATACAACTCATAGAACCAGAAAGGAGATTTAAGCCACAAAAGCAAAACCAACAAGATCAAGTTATAGATCAGCATGAAAACCAAACAGTTGATATACAATTTATAGAAAGGAAATCAGGATGGAGATCTAACCCACAAAATGTCAAGAAAAGAAGAAGCAGGTCTCACAAAAACAAAAACTTTTAAACTAAACAACAGCGTAATGCCAGTTATTTAAGAGATGATTGAATATATGAAAAGATAGCTGAGGCAAAGTATTGGTTTATATTATCCTGAGGAGAGTGACAGACTTCTGCAGTGCTGTACTTTGGGATGTGAAAAGGGCCTTAAACTGAATGGATTGGAACTATCTTTTTTTGGATTCTTTGATAAATGTACTACGTTTATGCTGAGCTACAAGGCGAGAGAGCTATGGAATTGGCACGCAGATGATCTGGCTGTTACCCTATTACGGTGGTTGGAATTAATAATTTGGATGAAAGACACCACTATAGACACTATATGGAATACAAATATAA